AAGAAAAGAAATAATGGAAGAGGATCGTAGAGGGGCAGAAAAATCCATCCACGCCCCCCTTCCTTTCCTCCGACTTTCAACTTTTCCATCGGCGATACTTGTACTCCTGTACAACCCACACCGAATCTTGGCAAACACTTTGCACGTATTTTTCACGACCCCTTCCTCCCTCGCTTCGATATGCGAGCGACACAAGCGCGTAACGCGATCAAACTTTCACGATTGCGCGAGAGAGTGGCGTGAATACTAGAGAAGCGAAGGTGAATCCATCCGGCGGGATGAAAGGGCGGAAGTTGTTCCATGCGAAATTCGCCACGCGACCGGAAACAGGCAGCGAGAGCCTTTACAATAGAGTACAATAGAGAGAGAAAAAAAAAATGGAATTCGTCCCAAACTTATTTAATTGCAAATTAAATTCTCGCGTTACGAAGAGGATTTAGATTAAATAATTAATCAAACAAAGGATAATTAATCTTGTTTAGTAAAAATTATTTCATAATCGTATAATTCTGCGCGCAGAAAAACTCGAGAAAAATAATAATAATAACAACAACGTGCACAAATATTAATTCGAAAAATTCTAGCTCGTCTAAAAAAAAGAAAAGATTGATTCGTTTCTGTCATCGAAATTCGTAAAAAAAAAAAAAAAAAAAATTAAAGGCGATAAATTCTTTGAAAATAAATCTCAATTGCTCGAATAAATAGACGAGAATACAGAATGGGAAAGATCCGATGACAAAAGATAGAGAATTTTTCTCTTCGATAAATGTGGTACTTTACCACGAACTCAATCTCCGTCGAATAACAAAACAGTCTCTTTGCACAACACTCTAACCCACTTTAACCTACTTCCATGCCCGAAATATCCATCCTTCCTTCCAGACGCTTCCTTTAAAATTCACCCCCGTGTAACCAACATTACGAGCAAGCATCCAAGCGTGCATCCATCCGGCGGAAGGGGGAAAGAAAATCTTCCGGTCCGGTAGACGATATATACATCAAGACATTTGCTGCTCTTATGCAAGACGTTCGAATCGAGTCAGATTACCGAAGAAAGAAACTTGCGTAATAACTTCGTTTCTTCGATTCGTCCAATAAAGCAATTCCTTAAATCTTCGTTAAGATAATTTGATGAAATATTCTAAATCTAATGTTAAAAATTTATCCAATATTTGAATTCGACGATCTTCACTAACTCTTTGATTACTTAACGTAAATAAATATACGCATAAATTTTCTCTTCACATAAATTAACTCTTCACTAAATGTGATAATTCACTACTAATGTAAATAAATATAAAATAATTTATGTTTGGAGAATAAAACCAACACGCGTTCTTTTCTAATCGTCTAATAATTAATACAACGAACGATTTCAAGAACAAGATTGTACGTACTTGCAATTTCACAACGGAAGAAAAAGAGGGAAAGTAAAAAAAAAAAAAAAAA